TGGTAGTGCATAATGTATTTTAATGTCTAAAATATGTTTATTAATACTATTAAGATATTCTCTATCATGAAGCAATGAATTATTGAACTTCCAGAGGCCTTTTCCTTTCTTAAAATCATTAAAAACTATTGATATAATTGGTGTTGAGTGGTCTGATCGATATCCTGGCTCAATTGTTGATTTTTCAATACAAGATATCATATTTTCTGAAACTAAAAAATAATCTATACGTGACTGTTTGATTGGGTTTGACCTTCTCCATGTATATCTTTTGGTCTCAGGGTGCTGCTCTCTTTATATGTCTATCATTCCAAATTCATTTAACTCAATTACTCTATCTCTTGCTTTAGGATTGTTTACATGTCTATAATTATTGTCATAATCTAGATCAGGGTTCATAACTAAATTAAAATCACCACATATGATATAAGAGTCAATATTGTAATCATTAATAGCATCATATAATTTATCGTAAAAACTAGGTATGTCTGAGTTTGGTCCATATAATGTAATTAAAGTAAGTCTTTTTTCTAATATAAACAAGTCCAGAGCTAAAAAAAATCCCTCTAAATCCTTCTTTTAACTTATCACCTTTCCCTCGAAATTCCTTGATCTGTTGACAATTCTGCAGCTGAGCCATGACTCTGCTTTAGTCATATGCAGTCTCGTTTAGCCATGTGAAGAATCATGTTCAGCCTGGGTAGAAGCATATTCAGACTTTGGTATTGTCATACCCAGTCTTATGCAGGATCAATTACCCCATCTCTGGATTGGGTCATGTTAAAACTATTAGGCGTATACGTATCTATTCATTATCTAAATGTTTTGGGCTTTGGAAGGTGTAGCGCCTTGATAGCTTTTTCACATTTGTGCTATGAAAGGTACACCTCCCTAAATATAATTAATATTATTAAAAACTCACGGCTAGATGGATGTGGGATTGCAATTAATTCTTGAGCAAGCCGTTGCTACTGTTCATTGCTACTGTTCCTACACACTAACCTTAAGAGTAATGTACCATAGTAGTGTATTCACCATGTGAAGCTGTTCTAGATCATTAACGCATATCGAGTATCATCATCTGTGTGAATTTAATAGATACAAATTCCGTGTCGGGTGTTTGTAATTCTTCCACCCTCAAGACGTGCAAGCGTTGAGGTAATGGACATATTAAAGAGAGGTGGAGACACCGGTATATAATCGTAAAACGTGTTTACTAAGCCTCCCGACAAATTACGCTGTTTTAACGGGAACGCGGCGAGGACTAGTTACCGTTATACGTATCTGTATTATTTCAACATGCTTTTTTTTAGATATTTTAAATGATTCAAGTGCTTCACGTATCATCCTTGTGCAATAAATGTTGAAAAACACAGGCCGTGGTGTAGCCGTTGATGTTACTAACTTTTTATATATATATATTACATCGCTTAAAATTGATAAGCCTCCGTCAAGGTATTTGGGAAACGGATAATAATCTAAGGGTAATATTATATTTATAATCAAAGTACGGCTCCTTATTTCATGGGGATCATGTTATGCAATTATAAGTTATTTCCCATATCACGTGTATCTAAGTGGAATGCATTTTTGGGTAACGTAATGTTCACTATTTGTAGCAATGCTAGCTGCTACTTGTCACAATTCAAATAATTTGAAGCTATGGACAATTTTAAATACGTTGATTGATGACAATAACGCTTACACATGCGAAGTGTTTTCTTTTTTTCAATTGTTTTTTTTTATGCTGGTAGTATGTTTAGATGAGGTTCAATTATATTTGCCTTTGTTTTATTACACGGAAACGAATGAGTATTTCTGACCTCAACTGTGTGTTTTCAGAACAAACAGATAACGACAGTAATTAAAACAGTATTTTGTAAGATTGATCATAGACAACAGCTGACTGTATGCATTAATTAGAATGACTTATTGATCTGTTGATATGGTACATGGCTCACGCACCTAAATTCTCTCGTTAACATCAAAGGCCTGTAATCCATCCGACATACGCATAAAATGTAAATGGATGGACTCTATTTCAAACATGAGTTTTCTATCTCTTAAGCTATATATATGTATCACACGTTAGACAAACGAGAACATACAATCTTGATTATGTCAGTTTCAAATATAAACATGTACACTTATAAAATATATGGGTATTTTTTATTCTAGTGTTTGTGGGTGTATACCTAATATACGGAACACTAGCATTCGTTTGTTAGTTTAAGCAGTTCTACTTTGTGATTTCTTCTGTATGTTGCTTTCCCTTGGACCCGATAATACCCAGGTGTGGTGTTATATATATACACGCATCTGATAACACCTAGGGGTATATGTGTTTTATGTAACAGCTGATGCTAAGATATATATTTGTATATGGAATACACAACTGATCCCATATATCACCCAAACCTCTATAAATCAAAAGTTATACTTCTGACAGATTGTTCAACAAATTACTGTAGTGTTTTAGGGGTGGTCGGGAGCCTGGAATGTACTTTGAAATTTGGAGAGCGATAGCCAGTTTGTATGATTAGTTGTTTTGTCTTTCGTGTCGCATGTAGATTGCCACATTCTTCATTCAATATACTAAGAGTTTAAGTTGATATATGTTGTACGTTATTTCTGTTGTTATTTACATAAACTATACCCTCCTCTCCTAATGTTGTATGACTTGGGAGATTGGTAGTCGATGTCTTGTTATCCGTCGCCTGTCACACCATCCTACCATGCACAATTCTCTGCATTGTTACTTACTCTGCGTCTCGTCTCACAAGGTGGCTACACCTATCACACCTGTTAAGCTACACTACCTTGGGAACGACTTCCCCGATGTCTGCACAAGATAGTGTCACACCAAGTGTTTTATATGTTAAATCGCAACACTGTCTTGTCAGGAACATTGATAAGTTATTTAACTCTATCAATTTATTACCTCACTTATCTTGACATTATATGAAAACACAATAAACTACACATCGCTTGATGTACATGTTAGAACTAGTTAACCATTCCTTTCATTTATTGCACATTGCAGTACATATTAATAATACTCTCCTGATAATGTTTATCTTTGAAAACCCAATTTAATTTTATCACTTTTATTCACTGTTTATCACCACTTTATGTACGTACGGTTCGCCTCCCTATCATAAGTAGGCTTTCATGAATGGATGTGGATCAAAACCAAGATTGAAAACTGTATCAGCAAGATGTTTTTGGTTTTATCGCAAACAAATGAAAATCCTCGATGCAACTTTTCCATCATGGTCAGTCCAGTTCATACCGGGCTTATTTCCTCATAGCTAAAACGTTAAAACACAGTAAAATATTTGCATGGCCAATTTACTAACAACACATAGTAACTGAATGAAAACGCTAAAGGGTTTGTTCAACTCACTGTCATCCGCGAGCATAACAAGCCAAAGTACTTTTTATGTTTTTTTTTTATTATTAAATATCACAACACTTATTTTAAAGAATAACATTCACAATACAAGTATAGGAAAGATAGTGTTGTATCATCTCACATGCTTGATACATGCTCACGACATGAATATGTTCGTCTAAGTACTTTAAATCTGATCCTACACACGACATGGACATATTGGTATCAGTTCATCTATAATGGGTGATCCCTACACACGACGTTGATATATTGGTACAAGTATATCTGCAATGGTTGATACCTACTTGAGACGCGGACAAATTAGTATAAATACATCTATAATTGGTGATTCCTACACACGACGTGGACATATTTGGTACAATTATATCTTCAATGGTTGATACCTACTCGAGACGCGGACAAATTGGTATAAATACATCTATAATTGGTGATTCCTACAAACGACGTGGACATATTTGGTACAAGTATATCTTCAATGGTTGATACCTACTTGAGACGAGGACAAATTGGTATAAATACATCTATAATTGGTGATTCCTACACACGACGTGGACATATTTGGTACAAGTATATCTTCAATGGTTGATACCTACTCGAGACGCGGACAAATTGGTATAAATACATCTATAATGGGTGATACGTGCACACGACATGGACATATTGGTTTACGTATAACTATATAGTGTTTAATCAGACACAGCCTGCTGTGAAAACTGCTCAGCTATGCTATCTATCTTAAAGGTGTTCGTTCAAATTTCGTTGATTGAATTTGCGGATAAGTATTGTAGAGTTCGTCTTTTCGTTGGCTATCATGACAGAGTTATGTAAGTTATGCCAGTATCGTCGATCTTGGCTGATGAGTGTTTCATGCTAGTCTGACAGGTGGAAACAGGTGCCCTGCCCTTGTCGATTGTGTGAGATAGGTCGATCGAGGACACTGCGGCAGGATGATACAGGTGTTTGATTGGCACGGGTGCTGCTTTGAGGCAGGTCGAAAGTAACGGACTTGTTGACAGACCGTGTACTGTATCATGACTACTGTTTACTGGTCGTGTCGTTACGGAGTTCGCCCACTTATAGTTTGCTTAATGATTGTGCAATGTGCGGAACACCTGCTTCAAGGCTGTCTCAACACGAAAAACATGACCTTGTCATAGTATTTGATTTTGAAACCAGGTTTGCTTGCGGGGGAAGAGTAGGAAACACCTCACATAACTTTCTAATTAGTAAACCCGTCCAAAACCATATATACATAAATGTGTACATGTCAGATTTTGTGTCTGTTTTTACGCATTTATGTGTCACATTCCAGTTTAGATTTGACTGAAGCAAAAACCTACCTACCATAACTAACCCACACAGCCATGGCGTTGAAATGCGAGGCCTTGCATTCAAACTCCACTGCTATACAAATTATCAGACAGATAGTGTAAGGTGTTAAAGGCATCACACGCAAATGATCCTGCTGATTCATTTTACTATACATAATTTCAGTCATTGAAACGGCGAATCCACATCCACAGAACACACTTTTCAATATTTCATTCTAAGTTGAATAAAACAAGATACTTAATTGTGATTTCAGAACGTGATACCGCTCGTGCTTGTGACATGTACGTTCCGAGCCATCCATATCACTACGAACGTTCCCATCCGGGCGTTGTTCTTGCTCGTGCTGGCCATGTCTGACCTCATGGCACTGGTAAGTTGCACATGGTGATTATGATCACGATACTACTAAACGGAAGGAAGTCTAGCAAATATTATAGTAATTTAACAATATCACACCAGAACTTTGCTTAAATGGTATTTTCGTGGTTTTGTAGAAACTGTTTTAAAAGCGCACTTAATTGTTGTCTATGAAGAATTATTTTTTTTGTTTTTTGTTTTGCTCAACAACTATCGAGGTAGTTAGGTAATTGCCATTTTGAATAAGCATGGAGACGCATAGACATTCACTCGCAGGTATATGTACAGGACGAGAATATGCACCACATATACATTACAATTAGGGCATCGCAATTGTAATGACGTCACTATCGCCAATGATCGTTCCACACTATAATGCATGTATTTGTATGATTATGTTGTAAGTAAATCGAATATATGTGATTAAATATGCTTAATTTTTAATCATGTTGATTTTCAGAACTTTTTCTTCTTGGTCCGTGACTATGGGAGTTGGCTCGAGATCGGTACGAGCATAAGCCACTACGTGATTGTCATGTGTATGATCATATTCCTCATGCTGCTATTCGGTCTGTCGCACGGACTCACCACATTCTCAATGATCCCACGCAAATCACTCAAGACCGGAGCGGGTTCACCACATTCTCAGTGATCCCATGCAAATCACACAGGAACTGAGCGGGTTCACCACATTCTGACACAATCTGACAAGAACTGATTCAACACATTCTCAATGATCCCTCGCAAATCTTGTAGGAATTGAACGTTTTTATCACATTCTCCGTGATCCGTTTGAAATCTTGAAGGAATAACTGAACGGGTTCACCACATTCTCAGTAACCCCACGCAAAACTCACAGGGACTGAGCGGTGAACAACATACCTAGTTATCACGCGCAAATCTGAGACAAGAACTGAGCTGATTCACCACATTCTTAGTGATCGCAAACAAATGTCACAGGAACTGAACCGGTTCACCACAGACTCTTTTGGTCACACGTAAATCCCGCAGGAACTGATAGTGTTGACTATGTTCTCTATCTGTCGCCTCTGAAGACTGAGATTTGAGTTTATTTTTCATTATATTTTATTACTAAAATATCTTACACAGAAATGAAAAGAGCTTAAAAGCAGTTTTAAAATAATGCGAATGATTAGTAATTTTATAATAAAATTATTTTAAACAATATTATTTAAATATGTGTTTATCTATTCCAAAACAATCGCCAATTCGCTATTTTACTAATTAAATAGGATAGATTTTAACTTTTACAACATATTTCATTAAATAGCTTAATCAAACATCAACGGCATGAAATCCTGCTCTTAATATAGAGATAGATTTTAATTTAGTATGGATCGTCCTTACGTCGTGTGTTCATGTTGGAGATATACACGTCACGATATGTAAACAACATCCGCATGTATGGCGACGTGGTAGCCTGTGTTGATAATAAAGGTTGACTATAAAACCTACAAGATGAACCACACAATTATTAACCGATGACAGCTTCGTTCTAAAATGAGTTTGAGCAATTTATTGGGCTTTAGATTTAATGGGTTTCCGCTTCATTGATATTTAGGTGTGTTTTGCATCAATCCATTGGCAACAGATCATGGAAGCAGTTGGTGGTGTAGATCTGCTATGGTGTAGTAGTACAGACGTTACTACACTGGTCGTACAGACGTTACTGCACTGGTCGTACAGACGTTACTCCACTGGTCGTACAGACGCTACTGCACTGGTCGTACCGACGTTACTGCACTGGTAGTACAGTCGTTACTGCACTAGTCATACAGACGTTACTGCACTGTTCGTACAGGCGTTACGGCACTGGTCGTACAGACATTACTGCACTGGTCGTACCGACGTTACTGCACTGGTCGCACATACGTTACTGCACTGGTAGTACAGTCGTTACTGCACTGGGCGTACAGACGTTTCTGCACTGGTCGTACAGAGGTTACCGCACTGGTCGTACAGTCTTTACTGCACTGGTCGTTCAGACGTTACGGGACTGGGCGTACAGACGTTACTGCTCTGGTCGTTCAGACGTTCCCGGACTGGTCGTACAGTCGTTACTGCACTGGTCGTACAGACGTTACTGCACTGGTCGTACAGATGTTATTGCACTGGTCGTTCAGACGTTACCGGACTGGTCGTACAGACGTTACCGCACTGGTCGTACAGACGTTACTGCCCTGGTCGTACAGGCGTTACTGCACTGGTCGTTCAGACGTTACTGCACTGGTCGTACAGACGTTATTGCACTGGTCGTACAGGCGTTACCGGACTGGTCGTACAGACGTTACTGCCCTGGTCGTACAGGCGTTACTGCACTGGTCGTACAGTCGTTACTGCACGGTTCGTGCAGACGGTCCTGCACTGGTCGTACAGTCGTTACTGCACTGGTCGGACAGTCGTTACTGCACTGGTCGTACAGACGTTCCTGCACTGGTCGTACAGTCGTTACTGCACTGGGCGTACAGTCGTTACTGCACTGGTCGTACAGACTTTACTGCACTGGTCGTACAGTCGTTACTGCACGGTTCGTGCAGACGGTCCTGCACTGGTCGTACAGTCGTTACTGCACTGGGCGTACAGTCGTTACTGCACTGGTCGTACAGACTTTACTGCACTGGTCGTACAGTCGTTACTGCACGGTTCGTGCAGACGGTCCTGCACTGGTCGTACAGTCGTTACTGCACTGGGCGTACAGTCGTTACTGCACTGGTCGTACAGACTTTACTGCACTGGTCGTACAGTCGTTACTGCACTGGTCGTTCAGACGTTACTGCACTGGTCGTACGCTGCCATGCCCGGACTTTATGGAGTAAATGTGGTAACGTGAAACCATTTCTTGCGGTAGATGTTTTGTTTAAAGCATTCGTGGGTAAATTCTTCCGAAGAATAGTTGAGGTAATCTCAAGAACATTAATCAATTAAGATCAACATTTATAGACTAAAGCGTTTGAAGTCGGTGGGTATTTTTGTTCGCACTTGAGTCTAAAATAATAACATTTGGTTGTGATTACCAATCTATTTCAGACCTTAAAAATGATATTCTTGAATGATATATAAGAAATGAAGGCGGTATTTTTGGAGAGACAGGGACATTGATGGTAGCAGATATCTTGATAGTATAGAGAACTATCACATCGTGAACACGCAAGGACTAGGTTGGAGTAATTGCATAAGGACAAGAACTGCGGGGACGCCAAATGAGAAATGAAAGATACCCTAACTGTGGCAAACACCGTAGGTAAACTAATATTGCACCTGCTCAGTGAAATTAGCAGACTAGATGATAATTATGTATTATACTGAAAAACAGAATAAGATTCAGTTTGTAACCTCGTAAGGAAGAGAGATAATTTTAAAAACAATATAATTTTGCCACATTAAGTGGTTAAAGAAATGTTATTAAAGATCGCTGTTCTGAAATCCTCTGTGGTCACGAGTTATATTATTTTACTGTTAGCCTTACGTAATACAGGTATAGCACTGTCATAACTAGTTATTGTAAATGCCTACAATTTGAGGAGATTCTTTTAATTGGCGATGTTTAGCTGGAATTATTCGTAAATATCTGTGTGATAAAATACCTCTTTTCAGATAATAGGGACTTGCAAACGTTTCACATAGATCACAATTTTAGTTCATTAACTGTAACCTGTGCTAAAATTCATCAAAATCCTTTCCAATACTACGACTGCTAGGGAAACATGTCAATTTAAAAAAAACAATAGCTCCGAAAGTGAACAGTGTGTATTAGACGGCTACCTGAAGCGTCCTGATATGTTTTCATTTCTGAATAATCTGTCCATGCGTAAACTTCTTCACCCTCATTTCGATGTGTTTACTGAAATGTTCACAAATAATAATACTGAATACTACCTAAACTTACAGGAATGTTATCAGTTCTCATGTGTTAGATCAAACTACCAGTAACTTCACATGAGAACGATTTTTAAAACATTTGACAAGTTTCCACGTTCTTTGTTACTCTCAATGTAAGGACTCTCGTTATCCGTCTGAACCTTTGTTGTTAACACTCAAACTTAATTTATGTTTTATATGTAAATTAGGATTGATATTGTTAGTTCAAAATAAGTGTATGATCATCTGAAGAACATAAGTAGGCCATGTAATTGGGTAAATATATACATTATACTACATTTTCTGTATATCCCAAGGGCTCGATGCATCAACAACAAAGCCTCTTCAGACATAACAAAGCCATGCATATGGCGATACATAACGAATCGTACATTAAATGGGGTAGAACCAAGTTCCATGTCAAGAGGTTATACATTAACAAGCGCGAGAACATTTGTAAACATATCGCTCGTGTATGTGTAGTTACTCCAGATCCAGTACTGCGGCAGACTGAAGACATTTCATCAAATTAGTTGTTCATCAATCTGCGAAAGTAATTTTCCCGTTGTTGAGGGCATGGTTGGCTATACTTGTGCATGTGGAAATCATTTGATTAATATTGCATTGGTATGATTACACAACAAAATTCTCGTGTATGAAATTTGCTTTAGGATTAGAGTAGAGAGTCAGTTACGTTTTCTATACAGGCATGCAAAAGTTATTTTCCTGTAATAATTATGTTATTTCTATTATATTCCTGATTCATACAAGGACAGCTATATACAAAATATAGGACTTTTTAGAATTATGAAATTTCGCAGTAATTTTGTAGAGAATTTTTGAATGGAGATCCCTTCATTCTAATTAGGAACGCCTGGGATCAAATTCCAATGGCAGAGCCGAGATGGTTTTTTGGGGGTTTTAGGGTCAATTGTAAAAAAAATGTTCTGTTGTATATTGTTGTTTGCTCTAGTAAATAAGCACAATCTGCAGGTCAGAATAATGTCGAACAAATTAAGACTTCTTCGTGGAAAACACTACACAAGGTGCTGGTTTAAGAAAGCGAAAATTAACAATCTTATTTATTCTACAGATGGTATGCTTGTGATTCAACGAAATACATACACAATACATCTTTTTTCTTGGACGTATTTTGGGCGTAACACTTTTAACACGGGGTATACATACTTTCATATCTAAATGAGCATTCTTTTTACTTAATAACGACGTCAAAAAGTCAGTGGGTAAAGCTGTTAATCAGATCTAAATATATATCTAAGTGTCAGTTTGGAATCTCCAGTGATACAGGCCGTTTAGATTTACATACATCTGATATAAGATACATTAATTACCGTCGATTCTGATCACATCAACACGGAATAAGAGACGGCGACTCTGTACCAACAAGCCGGATTTACACACGGGGAGCTATAACTGGTTGGAATTAGATAAAACGATTACAGCTAAGGTGGTGCGTCTACTAATAGAATTGGTGCGATGTTCATCGGTAGCCGAACGGTAATTAAAACATACCATGTCATCGATATCAGCACACTAATTACAACATGCCATAACGGATTAAATCAGCAATCGCACCGATAAATAGGGAAACATTCCGAAATAATTTAAGGGATAGGGGTGATAAGTCCAGCTTAATGGAGGACAATTTTCCATTTAAATCGGTTATATTTTTTCGATGAAGGTGCATATAACTCGATGTTAAACATTGGCCAACTATGCTAAAGGAACAGCTTGAGCAGGTAATAAAAAGTACATTATTTGATCGATGATAATGTATATTTTCATAAGTATATTTCAATTTGTGAATATTGTATATCACATATCTGTTTAGTACTATCTTTAAAATAATTTTAATTGGTTTTACACAGATAGTAAAACCCCACGATACCAAAACATGGGGTGACTGAATTGTATGTTGATAATTGACAGCTCAAACGCAGGATCCAACTATAAAAATAAAAACAATCGCAGTTACTCGCGGCGTTAAAACGGTATGTTTTTAATGTCCACATTTTATGGTTTCGAAATGAACAAACTACACGTGCAGCGTTTACATCGGTTTCTACAGTAAAACTCGATTGTAACTGGCCATTGAAAAGAAGCCATTTATTTAGCTTCGTATGTTCAACTGATTCAAGATCGGATCATCATTTCGTATACTTTATACTAGATCATGAGGTGTGGAATACATAATTTCAGGAAATAACCAGTTTCATCATTGCGATCTCTATCCGAGTTACGGTAAGCTCAATTTCAATCCAAAAAGCCACTTGCTGGATACCCTATGATACCATATGAGTGGTTCGTTTTGCCTAATGGATGTACTTGATAAAATTTCTGCATTCTCTGCCCTTAATCCTATGGTTCAATGTACATGTACTCAGTCCGCTTTTAGAAACATCACGTTTCCATCCTATCAAAACACTGAATACTCTCATACTTCTACACAATATGCATGTTCTGAAAATACCACCGTTTAACTCTTTTGTACTTCATAGAGGCTATTGATAAAATATTTTAATGAACAGCAAAATCCTTTCTTATTTTGATAAATGTGTTCTGAAACGATGATTTTGTAATTCGACATTCACTTATCTCCCCCTTGAAAAAGATTTGTTTTACAAAGGTGTAAGCGTAGTTCAGCGATTTGATGGTGTAACGTGTTGATAATGTGTAACTTTGTTACTGCGTCCTCGTATTGTTCTGTAAACATTTTCGTTTCTGTGTCTTCGTTTTCTGTGGAACGTTTTTTTCCAAATGAAATCAAGTTCAAAAAGGCGTGTTCGTGCTTTGCCATCTTCGTTATTTGTTTATGCTTTGCAATAATGTTATATTGTTGCAAAATTAAACCATTGCAAAAATATCCCGTTATGAAGTGTTGAAAACAGCCAAACAAATTGTGTAACAAAAGACGAATGGTGTTTCTTATATTTATTTCTAATGGATGCACAGGGATACCAGCCATGTGTCTCGTAACTATGTATGTTTACATCAACATACATATACTCACAGTTTATATACACAATAACTATCCACAACGATTGGCCCGTGTTATCACGTGATTGTTCACAACGACGTCACATAGTCTCTGATATGCTTTCTAAACTGTTCTTGAAACTGACAGTAGACTTAAAAAATGTTCGACATGGTCATGAATCAAAGTATGAGATTACTTGAATGATAAATGTAGGAATATATTCATTGTAAGGTGAAGTCGGAGAACTAAGAACTATCAGAGATATCCTGAGATATGAATGACTACTAAATCAACATATACAGTAGTGACGTGTTGGTTTACAGCGGAAAGCGTTACGCGACTGTAACGGACATATACACATCACAAATACAAATACGTGTATAGAAAATCCAACTCAGATCCAACACGGAAAAGAAACATCACTAACTTGGTGACTCCCTACAACATTGAGCGACTCTAATGTCAGGACATTCATCTACGGCGCACTGTATAGTCCTGAACATACGTTATCATCCGTGATTCCTCGCGAGTCAAGTCTCACCGGTTTAAGGTAGTCACTACAGCACAGGAGACGTGTTATAGAAGTTATCAGAACGAATACACACATCCAATGTATCTTCAGTAAAACGATTTCCAGTTACGGAGTTGTCTGTCAATGTTTTCCCTTTATAAGAATACCACATGTAGCCTGCCACGGTGTTCTTTGTTACGCCAGATCTGTAAGCATATCCTAGATAGATATCCAGTGCTCTTTCTGAAAATAAATAATTCATAAACTTTATTCTTAGTTATATATATTCACTTAAACTGTTGTGAACACCGAGTAGGACGAAGACGTTTTCGCACCGTAGAGCGATGGACAATTGGCGTTCTATTCTATATTTGACATTTCTAAAAACTAAAATAACATCATTTCTTGAAATGGATGGACATGAACAAGCATCGTAGTATGCAAATATTTCAAAATAATTTTCTTCATAAAAAATTAATATTCGTGTGAAGAATTTGACCATTTCCTACACTGAATTTGTTGTTTCGATAGACAAAATGTATATATGACGTTTTAGACGTTACCTTGAAACGCCTGACGACACCGGTTCTCTCTATAAGGGCATGCTCTCTTGTCGGAGATATACACAGCGCCAATCTCTGGAAATAAAACATCAGGAGTGATCAGGAAAAATTAGGTTATACATCTACACTAGAGGAATCAAAATGAAATGATTAAAAAGACTAAGTTATCTACGTAATTTCCTAACTGATTAGTCGAAAGAATAATGAGTACAACTTAAACTTATTTCTTTTTCAACCGAACTCATTAGATGCAAGAACATTCAAAACATATTTGTGTATTGATCAACCGCCATGACTTGTTGCTCAGATTAAGGTGTTATATTGATTGTTACAACCCATTAAAAAGACTAATGTGATAACATGCTGTAGTAATCTATAATATGATTAATACTGGCAATCGTTAGAGTCCACTTACACGTTTGAACGACCCTTCTGTGGTGCTGAGTTTGTAGATGGCGTAGAGCGGTATCAACGCCATTGTGGAGGAGGCGACGCCCCATCCTATAGCGTTCGCATATCCCGGGTATTTGTAAACCCCGCCCCCGCCCTTGTATATCAGCGGCCGGTAATGTAAAAAGCTTGATATCACAAGGATCTGAAAGTGTACACATACTATTATTACTAGGTACAAGTTTCAAAAGAAAACAATAACAAACATTAAGATAAAACACAGAGATACAAATGACAGAATGATAATACATGTAGTAAAATTTCAAAATTAGGTCAGGGATGTTACAAGTAGACTATACTGGTGCCTCACTGAAATACCATGCCGAAGGCAGGCAGCACAGCAGTCCGCCTGGTCACATTATATTGACAACTGGTGAACCAGTTGTTGCCATTACCTTAAATGCTGAACGTTAAGCAGGGAATAGCATCTACCATTTATAATGGCTTTGGTATGAGATATTGCCAAACAAGTCGCTACGAAATAAAAGAAAGTTAGAAGCAGAAAAAAGGACACAAATGCAAATCCCTAATTCTGCAGAAGGGTTCCATATTAGTCGCCTCTTACAACCATGTACTGCGTTACAGCAGGCGAAATCTTTCTTCAATCCCCGATCTGCAGGGGTGAATGGTTAAAAGAGGAAAATGTAAAGCGTGAGGCAACTTCTTCAGATGAATGTTAAACAAAGGAAATTGAAATGCAGCCATTAACTAGCAGGATTGTTAAAAGGAGTAATAAGGGAAATATGTTAACTTTTACCTAGAAAAGTTGACGAAAAAGGAATGTAAAGGTAAAAGATGTAAAAAATACAATCACCTTCCAAAAGGATTATTGATCAAGAGGCATGCAACCACTAGCTAGGTAAAGGTGAATGTATGTAGCCATTTATCGAGAAGAATGAGGAGAGAGGAAAATGTAACGGATGCAGCTACTTACTAAGAGGAATGTTGGACAGATGAATTTCCAGCAGATTCTCCAGTACATCCCGGGGGTGTATCCGGTCATCTGCTTCACGTCACGACAGAACTGGTCCACGCCTACAACATGGGACAGCAATGGTGTCTATAAAACGGACACGGACTTAAATTTAACCAACTTCACATATATTGATATTCATTTTGATCACGTGGCTGTTTTTTTACACCAGTTTAAAGGTTTGATATACCAAACTTTTGACGAAAATAATCTTACCGTACACCCAGGATACAGCAATCACCTGACACAGGACAGTGAAGAGTATAGAAGTGCCCGCCGCGAACGTGTCCAGGATCTTAAACACGTACATACCGCCCTGTAGATGTCAACGAAATCTTGTAAAACTTCAGTCGATGGGATAACATTGAAGAATGGGTTTTTATCATTCCTTATCAATTACTTCTAAAATTACTTAAAAAAAGAAAAGGCACCTTTAAAATACTATAAAACCTGCCGAAACCAAACAAACGCCAAAATTACTTAAATGAGAAAAGGCACCTTTAAAATACTATAAAACCTGCCGAAACCAAACAAACGCCAAAATTACTTAAATGAGAAAAGGCCCCTTTAAAATACTTTAAAACCTGCCGAAACCAAACAAACGTCAACTTCAATCAAATGGCGTTATCTACCATCACCACAGAGCAACAGATATCGAAACAGCTATACATTATATCGAAATAAATATCGTCACGGTTGGGAATTACAGCGCTAACGAACAGGAAGTTACGTACGTTTGTTGTACAGGGTAGTGAGAAGAGGAAGGCGGTGCACACGATGATGAAGGTGAGAATCTCGCGAGACCAACCGAACCGGATCAGGCGGTAAAACTGATTACCAAGGCCGGTCAGGGGCGACTCCAAACCACCAAACTATTAAACAGAAACGTCAGCATAAAACGTGCAGGTAAAAGACACTGAAATGTATAAAATCATGGGCGATCACCAATCTGTACAAAAGTGAAATATTAGCATAAATTGTTACATTTTGTTAAAATTATTAATATTTTAGAGTTCAACAAAGCACATTCTCGTTTGTACGCATGTCTATGGTGACACTACCTATATTTAGTCTTCCTTTTTCTAATGCACCGTAAGCCGAAGGCTTGGAGTAGAACACTTGCAAATCTGCAGGGGTCCCGCATTAGTCGATCCTTACGACATGTATTGGGCATATTCTGTTCACTAACCTTAACACGTCGTGAACAAAACTATGTACGTGTTGATAATATTTGTCGATGTCTGTGGTGGCAAGACTTAAATGACAAAACGTAAATGCGACAATATTGTTGTTACCAGAGATTATTTACCTTAATGATTAATTCTTTGGTAGGGTAACGGATACATTAATTGTTTGGGGTTGTCATGGCTAAAGTCATATGGCGACCAATTCCCAGACATAGGGTGTCCACGCACTGTGTTGCTAGGCTGTTGCATATCAGTATCTATTTTACAGCATTGTCGATGTCTAGGTTTGGTTTTTATTTTCATTTACCGCACTATTATCAGCTAAGGTCGATGCCTTTGTAATCAGATTTAGGTTTGATTTAAACATATTTCATTGTCGAAACAGACAAATGGATGAGAGACAAGTTCTGACAACTTACATGCTCTTCTCCACGAATACAGCATATGAATTACATTTAAATCACGTGACGTGCTATGTACACAGAGATAAATTTACAAGATAATAATAAGGTAGATGTATTTTTGTCTAAATCTACTTTATCACAAAAATTAAGGGGGGGGGGGGGGGGATTGGAAGAGAAAGTAGATGAAAGACGGGAAAGGAAGTCGAGAGGGAGCAGATTTGATGCCGATTGTAAAAGGTTCGTTCAGGTAGTATCAAAACGCTTTGTTGTATTCAAAAAACATTTAGGTACTTACAGCACTGTCCATTCCAAGAGTGACCAGCATGAAAAAGAAAATAATGGACCAGGCGGTAGAGCCCGGCAGTGTGGCGATGGCTTCCGGGTAGACAATAAATACTAGGCCGGGTCCTGTCAGTAAAAAAGGTAAACACAATATAAAATATCACAACTAAACGCCTTTCTAAAGTCAATAAGTAATTAGATTTTTTTATGCTCATTTCCACGATATGATGTCCTTGGTGACCATTCGAAAAATATGATTGTATTCAATCTGAGGCTCTTAGCTATTCCGTCTTTGCGTATTTTAGTTATCTTCTCTTGTGAGCAGGTATTGATTGTTACGTCATTGGTTTGTGTGAGAAAATTACGTCGTTTTCTCAAAAATCGATGACGTTACTCTCACAAACAAATGACGTAACAATCGATACCTGCTCACAAGAGCAGATAACTCTGCGATACGCAAAGGCGGAATAAAGCACGACTACTCATCTCTATTGTGAAAAAAAACTTACTGACCTTTTTACTTGTTATTGAGGCAATTAATGGACAATGCATGCGGTAAAACGGCTGCATTTCATCGTGAGTAAACCTATATCCAGAAGCTCGTATATAATGCGCATTCAGTTATCCATTGTGTGCACTTCATAGCACACTACTTACCGTCCTGGGCCACATCGTTGATGTCCTTGTTCTGCCTGGCAGCCATGTAGCCGAGGAAGGTGAACACAACGAAGCCAGAAAATATACTGGTGAAGCTGTTCACCCCAGCTGTTATCAGACAATCTCTACAATAGGTAGAGTCATTCGGGTAAAGAGAGTTAAAATACCACAAAATCAATTATCAATTATCTAATCAACATATACAAGTATGTGGTATCTATGCCTTGCTAGTCAGCAATCATCTGTTTAACACAATTACACTTTGAATATAATCTAACCAACAACGTAGGAGATATAAGTTATAATTGACCGTCCTATCTGGTGTTTTACATGTTAAATATTTTTTGATTCGGTATAACGTTTGGCTGTCGATGACAAGCATTGGCTCCTATCTCGACACTCTGTCATCTTATTATCCACATTTCTATACACAAATATGTACAAATCTCATCAATATATCTTTGCAAGTAGATGTGTTCGTACTTCACTTTGAAGTTAAGGAGCTAAATGACCTTGACATAACATTGAGTAGATGAAGAATGCGGTTAAGGAAAATACATCGACATCGATGAGTGATGCCAGGCCATCAGATAGGTACACACAGCAGTCGGCCGCACACAGTTTCATTTAAAAACCTTTAGAGATAAGATACGGTGTCTACCTAGGCTAAATCTATCATTCAACACTATTTTGAACTTTGACTGGAAAGGACGTGGAAATCATGGTTAACCGAAAGTTATTCCAAAGATTAAATGACATTTTTTTTCTGGCACGTATTGATACGAAAACATTCAAAAGAACCGATTGATTCCGTGGACACACCTGAAGCAGTTGTTGTGGAATTTGTTATAACTGGCATAAGCTATGTGAGTTCCAAAGCCTGCACCGATGGAGAAGAAGATCTGCACGGCGGCGTCTATCCAAACCTGTAACACAAGGTACAGCTAATAAACCCCCAAACATCCTGTCAGATATGTGATTGTAAAGTAAGCAAAAATAATGAGCCGGTTTCACCAAGTGATGGCTTTTCTGTGGAGCGCTTAAAGTTTTTGTCACGGTATTTGTAAATTATAAAAAGTTTCCAGACGTTTAAATTTAAACCGCACATTGACTAGGTGTTTCTATTTGCAGCAATAGCATATATACGCTTTAGAACATGTCAAATATTTACATAAAAAAAGGATCAACCACGCTATTGAGGAAGCGGAAAACAGCATACCACGCAGAAATCTTGTTGTAAAGCCACACCTTCTTAAACAAATAGTTTTGGAAACGATGATTTAATATTATAGGATCGTTTTCATTTGTTTTTATATTCAGAAATATCTCAATTAAGAACAGCCAAGACAAATAACTAGTTAAACAAGATACACAGGAACTACACAGTATGTGCTCAATCAATGAAACAGGTTAAGTTGTTTATATGTGTTGAGAAATTAACACGCTATTTTAAACACAAATTACCACTATGGTATTAATGATGGTAGGTTTTATAGGAGATACTCACTTATAGATAAAACAATAAACTGGAAGAAACTTAGTATGGTATCTTATCCACAACAATTACGGCGTATTTTTACCTGAACGTCGCCTAGGCGACTGACGTTGGGAGTGACGAAGTACTTGATGCCGTCCCCTGCCCCCGGGAGTAGTGAGCCCCGGATGAGGAGGATGGTCAGTATGAGGTAGGGGATGGTAGCCGTAAACCACACGACCTATAGGTGTAATGTGTAGTGCTTTAGTGTATACTGTTATAGTAACAGGCAATGCTTAATATATACATCATTATGATGGTGTTATATAGACGTAACAGTAACGGGCAATGTTTTAATGTATACATCATTATGACGGTGTTATTACAGTTCTGCGTCACACAGTAACAAACACTGTTATACTATATATTTACATTTACATTCCTTGGATCCATTGACGGTAGTGCTTCTGTATCTAACATCGTAATAACATCCAGTGTTTCTTAATATACATCAATAAAAGTGTTATACATTTTACGCTAAATTATCCACCAATCTTGTGTACTTCGTGACGTCACGTTACTATTGTAGTGTGATATAATTGTGACGTCACGACGTTGTTCTTTTGAATAAACCTGAAGAGCCCTGTTTTTTAGTCGGTCGTTAATCTTATTTTATCTATATATAAATATATATATATATACATTGTAATAGTAACATACATTGTTACATATATAATAGATGACGTCACATTAACAGTGTTTCAATATATCACGTGGTACTAAACATATATTTGGCTTGCGCAGTTAACGACCTGTTGGTTACAAACACCTCTAGCAAAATGCTCTGACGAGGAGCACAGTGAGACAGTATACATAGTCAAAACAGATAATGCTAATCGAATGGCATTTTTAACATAAAACGCTGTTATGTGGTGAAACTATTTATAATTTCAAAGAAACAAGTATAAATTATTTAAATTGAGTTTATGAATTCACATTATATTGTCAAAGCTTTGCAGAGCTTCGATGAAAATATCGAGGTGTTCAATAAAGTTTAACAAATCTCTTAGAATTCAAATTAACTAAAAGAACATGGCGTTTTTCTATCACAAAACTACGATTTTATATTTAATATTCAGTAATAACGTAGATGTTTACAAAGTCCAACAAACATTGAATATTTTCTTAGATATTTTAGTGCACACACATCTTGGTTAACTTGATACGACATGGGAATTACATCGGTACTATCGGGCAATATACTTTTAACATAAGTTACCTGCCGATATCATTTGCTTCACTTCGAATGTAATATGATCGCTGTGAATACAATATTATCATGCATAAAAGTTAATATTATACAACTATGTACTTCAGGTGAGGTCTCTCCATGATTTACGAACCTGGTCTGAACAATATTCACAGAGGCCGAAGGCCGAGGTAAATATTGTTCAGACCAGGTCAGTAAATCAGGGAGAGACCGAACTGAAGTCCACAATTGTTTTATTATATGACATTTTACAATGAGATTACTAATGTTTCAAGTTATAAAAATACATATGGCATGGATCATTTTGGAATCACAGAGTGAAGCACTTCAAATACAAAATAACATACACACGAATTTAATTTCAAATTCAATTCATGTGATATTTAATTTCAAGTAAATAGTATTTGCACAATCGACATCATCAATATTCACATAGTTCAGAATTTGATGAGATGATTCATTTGTAGTTGAATTCAGTAGTGTGATTGGTAACAGAATCACAGACTTGCTGGGAAATTACCTAGGCCTATTTTTAGTAGCGGTCTGTAACACTTTTCTATTTATAGGTCGAGGTCTGTAACACATGACGTCGCTCCTCCAATCAGGGCTGGGAATTAGCACCAGTCATATAATAACAATACATATTTATTTACATTATAAAGCACGACACCTTACCGCATGCCATCGGTATTCGCTAGTGTTTCGAATAATCTTTAAAAAGATTACAATTTCTAACAAAATTACTTTATTGAATCAAATTTCTTAAGATTTCTGCAGTATTTATACAGAGACACGTTGTGACACTATCTAAATGTGTGGATGAACCTCCTCTAGTCTCCCTTTTAATAATGCTACAGTCACATCAATATGATCGCTAACTGAACCTTATATCTTTGTATATTGGTCTCCTTCTTGGGAGCACCGCTTACCAACCTTATAACTCACCGACCCAGCAATCCTGTCCGTGTATACATGGTTTTAACTGAATATTTAAAAACTTTATAATAAAAACCCCAGATTAGCAGTTTTTGCAATTCTTCGCTGCAGGCCTGGTGTTATTGAGTAGTTAGTGAGATGTATTCGTTGATAACTAATCACAATAGCTGTCTCCATACACAGCAGGCAGTACAATACAAGGGCAGGCGCTCCTGTATTGATGTTACCTCTACTACATACACTGGCTCGGAGACTTAGACTGTTTCCAGAAAGTCAGCCCTCGGCTTGGTCTTTAAGTTTCGGGTTACACAAAATATTTGATCAAGTTCATCTGAGGGGCATTGAGATCTGTATCGTTAATCATATGTTCCCCTGTGTGCAATGTATACTAATACATGTTCAGATATTATCTAAGACTTTTTAAATATAAACTAGAACATGAGACCCTGGAGTGCAATATCGAAATTGAATTATGTGTTATTTAACGTCAAAGTAGTATGATTAAACTAGTACAGCTAAAATAAGCACACGCGGGAAAAAACGTATATATTTAACTCCGGGAATATCATCATAACTTTCTTTCTGAACAACAGTCCTTAACAGCCAATTCTACCTCTATAAACTATTAACAGGAGCTTTTCAATAGTTCCTTTGTATACTTTTAACAGGTTCGTTTCGATTATTTAAACTCGAATGAGACATTATCGTTAAAATAGATATAAACTAGAGCGCATGAGACCCGAGATTGCGATATCAAAATTAAATTGAATTATAAATTATTTAACGTCAAACCAGTATGATGAAAATAGTACAGTTGAAATAATCACACACAGCAAACTGGGTAAGTATTTAATTTCTGGAGTATAATCAAACCTTTCTTTTTGATCAACGGTCCTTAACAGCAAATTCTACGTCTATAAACTGTTCACAGGTTCATTCGATGTATTGAACTCGAATGTGATATTATCGTTAAAATCTGCGTCTGGTTTTAAACATTTTATTGTTAATATGATAGTTCGACAATATCGCGCCAACGAGATGACAATGGATAAAATACGAATATAAATGCTAATACCTACGATTGTTCACGTAGTCTAACGTTATCGCCAATTTAAGCTATTAGAATATGTGTTAAGTTACCTTGCCAGCACTTTTGACGCTTTTCCAGAGACTGAAGTAGAGGATGACGAAGGTAAGGAGGACACACAGGGCCAGCTCCCATTTAACGGGACCCAGATCATTAATGCCGTTACTCTTGTGCAGCCCCAGCATCCCTCGTCTGTAACAAGTAAACACGTACTGCAGTCGTAGCATCGCACTTCCCGACACACCACTTCAGTGGGGTACTTTAATTTACCAATTAACATTTGTCAATTAGAGACATCACAATAAAGTGTCTTGCAATTATGTCAGCATTTACATATTTGTATAAATAAATTACACAACAAAAGTAATAATTGTGTTGCTATTGGAATTACTTTCAACGTGCAATCAGAATATGATGGTTGTCTTTGAAAAGCATATCTTTGGGAAATATAAAGCAACTGTTTTCTGTTACGACCCTCTTACATCAAGCTATGAGATAAAATAGTTCTATGCGTATTGTGAGGCATTCATTAACATTTTTACAAAGCTATTGTTTCAATTTGTGAATAGCTAATCATAAACTAGAAAACTATCATATGTTATATCATTGTAAAAACACCATGGTCCGAACTACGCGGCAAGCGCTGGCTCGGAAAGGTTTGCGCATCATATACCTACTCGTAGAACTCGAAAGCCGAGGATACTGAAGTGTTGGCGTCATAGGTACGGTTGAGATATGTCTTGTTGGTGTCCCAGTCAATCTGCCAGCAATTTTCGCTGTTAAATTCATGCGAGCAACTAGCCCAGGGCAGGACAGATGAGAATGAGGAAAACAGGTAGTAGAACGACCAGCCGATGACAAGGTTGTAGTAAAACGCAACGATGTACGCCATTAAGCATGAGGCGTACCCAATACCTGAAACAGAACGGTTTATATATAGATCTACAGAACATAGGCAGGAAGCGTACCCAATACCTGAAACAGAACGGTTTATATATAGATCTGCAGAACACAGGCAGGAAGTGTACATACTACCTGAAACAGAACGGTATACATACTGATACAGAACATAGGCATAAGCGTACCTAAAACCTAGAACAGAATAGTATACAGATATAAATGATAGTTATGAGGCGTACCCAATACCTGAAACAGAATTGTATATATATACATATATAGAATATAGGCCTGAGGCGTACTCATTTTCTGAAACAGAACGGCATTTATACAAATACAAAACTAGGGCATGAGGCGTACTTTATTCCATATCGTAAGAAACCTATGGTATGAATATGGTAATGTTAGTATTTTGACAAGCATGCCACGGTCGTAGACGTCGTTTTAGATAACAAAATAAACCAAACATTTTGACAGCTACACGTAAAAATTACAAATTTAAACATTAGACACCACATACTCGTCTTGTCAGCTCCATACGTCTTGGTATGTATGTTATATGACAATAACAGTCATCTCACGACCAAACAATATGACAAACGTAATGCTTTTTTCTGTCTTCTCCTCTATACTAATTTTTAGCCTACACTATGCTATCTTTCTGGTCCGCAGTTATCACATTTCGGCCCCAAACATGTTTACTTTACTTTCATCAGGAGTAAGATTTCATCTTTCCATGGACTGATTTTTCATTCATCGATAGTTACACTTCAGCCTCACTTGTATTAACTTTCATTTCATCAATAGTAACACTTCAGCCTCACTTGTATTCACTTTGATTTCATCAATAGTAACACTTCAGCCTCGCTTTTATTAACTTTAATTCCATCAATAGTAACACTTCAGCCTCACTTGTATTAACTTTTATTTCATCAATAGTAACTCTTCAGCCTCACTTGTATTAACTTTCATTTCATCAATAGTAACTCTTCAGCCTCACTTGTATTAACTTTCATTTCATCAATAGTAACACTTCAACCTCGCTTGTGTCAACTTTCATTTCATCAATAGTAACACTTCAGCCTCACTTGCATTAACCTTCATTTCATGTAATATAACATTTCAGCCTCGTTCTTGTGACATTTTCTTTCACTAGTTGGAACATTTTAGTCTTCCTTGTATCTACTTTCATTTTATCAGTAGTAACATACATGTGTCTTTCTCCTTTATGGTTGTGGAATAACTCGTTAGTATTTTAATGTCGGATAATAGAACCGTTGTCGTTAGTGACAAAGTGACACATTCACGTTAGTGTTATGTCATGTTAGTACCATATTTTAATACTCTTAGAATCAAGTCTGCAGCATATATTGCTGCGTGTAAGGGAAATGCTCAGTTAAGTAACATGCATGTTTTGTTTGAAAGAAAAATTCTTTTAAGAAGAACAATGATTTATTGTAAATGAAAGGACCCGGCAACAAACCAAACCTTGCCAACTAAATTAAGAGGAAAGAGTGCCAACGCTTAAATGTTGTGCATGTAATGTTAGGAAAAACCTACACGAACCCTGTAACAATGGAGTACATACACGATACATTATCCTCGGAGCTGGTAAATCTTTCAAAATGTTTTCCTCTCCTCACTCAGACTGTGAGATAAACAAGGCACTTGTCGGCCTGCAGTTGTCTTTGAACTAATATTATTAGTGTGAGAAGAATTGGCCCGACTCGGTGAAGTCAGGTGTGTGAATGGAGAAGGGTGTGATGATGGTTTACCCGCTGTACGACTATATGTCGGTAGACTGCTCTTTAAAACTATCAATAATATTCTAAGTGTTAAAATGTTTTCTTTACATGCACAATGTATATACATTGTAGCATGTAATTAGGTAGCTGGGAACACTTTGTAGGTATTGGCATATAGCAGTATTTACGACACAAAGTGACACGTTGAAGATTATTTCTCTGTTGCTTTTAAGCAATGTTTTTATATAATGACAGGTTAATTTGCAGTCCACTTAAAATGTAGATGAAGTTGATATTCTAACACAAGAAGAACAGTATGGTATTCTCATCTCACAACTTGAGAATAAATAAATGGATGACAAAACGCCATGATAACAACTAAACAAGCTGCTACAAAGAATGTGAAAACAAAATATGGCACTCAGTGAAGATAGGATTAGGGAACATATAACAATGTGTCTGGGTAGTCAGCAGGTTTCGTTCAATGTAAAACGAATAACGAATGATAAAAGATGAACGCCAATATTGTAAATATAAAGGATGGACCAGGCAAAGTTCGATTTAAATGTAGGTAACTAGGACTGGCACATATAAGCACAAAAACCTACTGCCTCTGAATTACCAACTCACAATCTTCTTATGCAATATAACACAGATTCTTTTTATACTAGTATTTTTTTCACATACTGTTGGCATAATCGAACACAAATAAGTTGGAAAGGTCAAATTCAGAGTTTGTCGGAATTCCTGAATCGTTTTCGATTGACTTTTGTCGCCTGACAGAAAACACATGGTTTTACAAAAATGGCTGTTCATCATTTCACTGTTTGTTAAAATATATTATGAACCAAAAGAAACCAAATGTAAAGATGAAATCTAGAATGTCCTCATGTTGTTTTGAGCGTTGATATATGGATTAAAATGCAAATTTAAAGCTTGATGATTGCATTGAACCATAAACCGTTTAAACACATTTAAGGATGCCCTACAGAAATAAAACACAATGGGAAAGATCACACGGCCTATCCATCACTATTGTTCTCATTTATTTTTGTCATTCGAAAATTAGCGGTGATACCATTTGTTCTAGGGGGGGGGTCCTGAATGGGGGGAAATATGGCAAAAGAAACGAATATACCCTCCTGTGCTTTAAATCAATGACACTACAGACTTTAACTGTAGTTGTTTTCCTTGCTCATTGCCAACAACGTGACCGATGGGGGCAGCTCACTACTGACCTTTACGATAAACGGGACGATTTCGATTTTCCGAAAGTGAACTTTCCCTGTTTTGATTGTATCATTTTATGAGTAGGCATTTCTGAATATACTGTAGTATCAGAAATGTAGATAATAAAAACAAAAATCTCGATTTAGTTGCAGGCGTATCATTTCCTATACGGACAACAAACGAACACCTGATACAACTATGTATACGAAAATCGTCAAAATGATCTCGCATGTAAATTAATGCATTCATAGTGCAAACTGTAACTCGTGAAAACGGAATGTTTGCCTCCACACCCAAAACTCTAAGTCTGGATTACATTATGCTTCCAAGATATCAAACGAATTATCTGTAAATGAAATATGAACGTTTTGAATGAACTAGATTATAGTGTAAGTGACGTCTGGATCGCTGTAAGGCTTAAATACATGTTTCTTATATCAACATCCGTAAACAATACTCCATAGCCACACCAGCGCTCTACCACACCACTATTGCAGTAGCAGTACGGATATTCCGAAATCAAACCACCTATCTTAAAACCACTGTCTGTTTCTCTATCTACGTGTTCAATCAGTTACAAGAACTTTAGGTATCTAGTTTAAGTGCACTACCACTGCAACTCATGATAAGATTGTTCGACTGGTACTTTCTGAAAACCAAGTACAAGAAAAAATGAGATGCGCATTAGACCTAAATTATGCCCTAAGATTGATGATTTGTTCATTTTACAAATCGTACCCACCAAAACAGGGATATATGTATACGCCAGAGGCCTCCTTAGGGAACGGGTATATTTTTACATATCAAAGCGTACTCTCAGAGGTGGAGATATTTTGTATATAACAAAGCGTACTCACAGAGGTGGAGACATTTTTATATAACAAAGCGTACTCTCAGAGGTGGAGATATTTATATATAACAAAAAGAACTCTCAGAGGTGGGGACAATGTTACATAACAAATCGTACTTTCAGAGGTGGGGACAATTTTATATAACAAAGCGTACTCTCAGAATTGGGGACATTTTTATATAACAAAGCGTACTCTCAGAGGTGGGGACATTTTTATATAACAAAGCGTACTCTTAGAGGTGGGGACATTTTTACATAGCAAAGCGTACTCTCAGAGGTGGAGATATTTTTATATAACAAAGCATACTCTCAGAGGTGGAGATATTTTTATATAACAAAGCGTACTCTCAGAGGTGGGGACATTTTTATATAACAAAGCGTACTCTTAGAGGTGGGACAATTTTACATAGCAAAGCGTACTCTCAGAGGTGGAGATATTTTCATATAACAAAGCGTACTCTCAGAGGTGGGGGCAATTTTACATAGCAAAGCGTACTCACAGAGGTGGAGATATTTTCATATAACAAAGCGTACTCTTTGAGGTGGAGATATTTTCATATAACAAAGCGTACTCTCAGAGGTGGGGACAATTTTACATAGCAAAGCGTTCTCTCAGAGGTGGAGATATTTTCATATAACAAAGCGTACTCTAAGAGGTGGGGACATTTTTACGTATAAAAGCGTACTCTTAGAAGTTGAGACATTTTTTCATAGAAAAGAGTTATCTTAGAGGCGGGAAGGTGGGGACATTTTTACATATCAAAGCGTACTCTTAGAAGTGGAGACATTTTTACATATAAAAGCGTAATCTTAGAGGTGGGGAGATGGGATATTTGTACATATCAAAGAGTAATCTGTGAGGTGGGGATATAGTTATTATTTAACCAGGCCACTTTCCCCTAAAGATCAGGAATACTTTCACATTGCAAAACGTATTCCTAAAGAGGGCATTGACATATGGACACTTACCTCTAAAGAGGGGAGACATTTTCCAGACACGGATGGGTCCCTCCTGCGTGTACTGGCCCATGGAAAGCTCCATCATAAACACAGGAATGGCGCCCAGCAGTAACACAGTGAAATATGGAATGATAAACGCACCTGGAAAAAGATATTTTTATATAAAATATTCGCATTTAGTAATAATGCTGCTATGAATGCTATTATATCGGCATTTATTCGCAAAAGAAAGCAATGTTTAAAACGTCAGCATAATGCAGAGGGAAATGCACAACAAACAACAAAGAAAGCTTAGCGTTAGTTGTAAAAAGGATGAAGAATTAAATAACACACACATTTTTTAAAATATAGCTAGACGCTAAGCATAAAATGAAAGCGCGCGTGTGTTTTAATTTGTGGACATAAAACAACTCCGTTATCGATTGATATGAATTACTTGAATACATACCGGAATGAAAGTCTCTACTTGGTAAACAAATTAACTGTGGCTTTTCACTCTTTATCCTATACATGGAATATATTACCCTTAAACTGTATCATATAGATGTTATATGTTACCCACATTATCTTATATATGTTGTATGTAACCCTATACCTGCTGTTACCCACTGCATGCTTTATAAGAGGAGATTAATGTGGAAATCCCCGGTAGAATTGGGAATTTGCTTTCGTGCCCTCTGCATGGGAACACGAAAATGACAAAAAATGATTCTGCTGCAGCTATTGCAATATTTAGAGACTTGCTTGGCAATACCTCACTTCTGGTTTAAATGTTGAATGCTTGCCCAGGTGAGGCAATGCGTTCTGTCCCAAGGACGGGACATACCAAAGACCTTAAAAATGATAGTTGTTATTCCTGCTTTACGCTCAGCTTTAGAGTAAAGGCAACAACTGGTTCAACCGTTGTCAGTATAATGTGATCGGGCGGAATGCTGTGCGGGGTGCCTTTGGCATGGTATGTCAGTGAGATAGAACTATAAAGACGGCAATAGATCCGCGCTACCACAAGGAGGCAAATACACCAACAAACCCTGTCTCGGGCACACATCTGATCTGACATAATGCACATGGAGGCACGTCCTTAAATGACCTAAGCTGTTGATAGAATGTTATACTCTATACAATCAACCAACAAACGTTAATCTGTAGATGTTTTATGTTATCATATAAACGTTATCATAAAGAGGTTATCTGTTACCCTACACAAGTGATACAATAAATGTTATAAGCTACCCTACAAACGTTATCCTACATATGTCAACAATACCCTAAAATGTTGTTCTTTGTTATATGATACCCTATAAATGTTATCTTTTACATTGCGATAACATTACATAAACGTAATGTTATAGACGTTATGTTATCTTACAATCGTTATCCAGATAACGTGAAGTAAGCGTTATCATGTAAGCGTGATGCTACCAAGTAAACGTTATTCTGTAAGCGTGATGCTACAAAGTAAACGTTATTCTGTAAGCGTGATGCTACCAAGTAAACGTTATTCTGTAAGCGTGATGCTACCAAGTAAACGTTATTCTGTAAGCGTGATGCTACCAAGTAATTGTTATCTGTAAGCGTGATGCTATCAAGTAAACGTTATCTGTAAGCGTGATGCTACAAAGTAAACGTTATTCTGTAAGCGTGATGCTACAAAGTAAACGTTATTCTGTAAGCGTGATGCTACCGAGTAAACGTTATTCTGTAAGCGTGATGCTACCAAGTAAACGGTATCATGTAAGCGTGATGCTACCAAGTAAACATTATTCTGTAAGCGTGATGCTACCAAGTAATCGTTATCTGTAAGCGTGATGCTATCAAGTAAACGTTATCTGTAAGCGTGATGCTACCAAGTAAACGTTATCATGTAAGCGTGATGCTACCAAGTAAACGTTATTCTGTAAGAGTGATGCTACCAAGTAAACGTTATCTGTAAGCGTGATGCTATCAAGTAAACGTTATTCTGTAAGCGTGATGCTACCAAGTAAACATTATTCTGTAAGCGTGATGCTACCAAGTAAACGTTATTTTGAAAGCGTGATGCTATCAAGTAAACGTTATTTTGTAATTTGTTTGTTTTAAGTTAAACGTCCTAGCACTAGATAAGGTTATTTGAAGACGAGTTCATGAGGAGACAACTTAGCAGACACCTGAGGAGACACCTAATAAAGACACATGAGAAGACACCTAATAAAGACACATGGGGAGACACCCCATAAAGACACATGAGAAGACACCTAATAAAGACACATGATAAAAGACACCTAATAAAGACACATGAGAAGACACCTAATAAAAGACACATGAGAAGACACCTAATAAAAGACACGTGAGGAGACACCTTATAAAGACACATGAGAAGACACCTAATAAAGACACACGAAGAGACACCTAAGAAGACACATGAGAAGACACCGAAGAAGACACATGAGGTGAAAATTAAGCAGACATCTAAGACACCTGAGAAGACACATGAAGAGACACATAAGTAGACACCTAAGCAGACACATAAGCAGACACCTGAGGAGACACCTGATGAGACACATGATGAGTCACCTCAGAAGACACATGAGGAGACACCTAAGGCACATGAGGAGACACCTAAGACGACACCTGAGGAGGCACATAAGAAAGACACACAAGGAGCCACCTAAAAATACACCTGAGGAGACACCTTAGAATACACATGAGGAGACACCTAAGAAGACACATGAGGAGACACCTAAGCATACACATAAGGAGACACACGAGGAGACACCTAAAAATACACCTGAGGAGACATATAAAAAGACACATGAGGAGACACACAAGAAGACGCATGAGGAGAAAGGAAAGAGTAAGAAAGCGAGACAAGAAATTATATAGATTCCAATTCTGGCAATAGGATGGCAGATCATAATTGGTTTCTTCAATGTCCACTAAGCAGAAGGCACAAAAGAAAACCTCCAATCCTCCACCTTAGCCGCCTCTTACAATTATCTTTCACCAAACTTGCAGAGGTATAGATGTTTCACTCACCCTATACACGTTATATACACGGTGTTATTGTACAGAATCGTACGTTCATTCTGATTTATTTAGAGAGGCCTGCTATCGCCTGATGATGAGTTTACTACATGTATTAATGCTAGCACTGAAAACCTTTTATTACCATTCATTTCTATTATGCAATTGCTTGTTGCTGTTATTGCAATGTTTCATGAGAAATATACACACCGAACGGTTAGAAAGTAGGTCAACTCGAAGTGTCAGGAAATCTTATTTGTTAATATGTTTTCTCGTCAGAATCATGCTCCCGTGAAAATGTTCCTGAATTATGAGACTTGATAACGGGATTACAAGGGATCTTCTGGTGCAGTAATATCTTCTTGAACTTAATAACCAAATTACAACAACGTTCTCTTTCAAGGTCTTTAAGGTATAAGACGCAGCCCTTGGCCTATATAAAGATATTTTGGTATATTAACACCCATGGAATACACAACGGTGAAGAAAGTTTCGGTGTTACACAACGTCGCTAATTGCTACGTAAGCTAGATGTATACAGCAGCTAAGGACGTTTTATTGTTAGTGAAAGTCTATACGTAAACTTTACAGCAGTGAAGAAAGTTTCTATGTTAGTACGTCTATAAATAGCTATCAGTCATCAAGGTTGGCCCTAGCCTTCAGTTTGTATCTGGAATTTATTCTGATATTCGTAGCACGCTAGTCTAGTGGTAGGACGCCGGGCTGGTGACCGAAGGGTTGCGGGTTCGAGCCACGGGACGGCACTGTGTTGTATCTTTGAGCAAGATACTTTACTCCGCTTGTTTCAGTCTACTCAGCTGTAAATGAGAACGTGGTTGGGTAGTACTAGAAATCTTGAATGCTAGCTGTGAGCACCGAAATGGCAGCACCGGCTGTATGCTCCCCAGGGAGTTGAGAAAGATGTTGGCTGGTTGCAAAGGCCCTATAATATAACCACGGATAATAATTTGTGAACCGCTTTGAGACGACCTACGAATTAGGTTGTGATAAAGCGGTATATAAGTTATTATAATTAATTACATGGCCTACATCATTAGATATTAGTTTAATCATTACGTGTTTGCCCTTTGTTATTATTTCATGAAATGTATGGAATTTCTCTTCCGTATTGTATGTATACACTGAAACTTCAACATGCCATACTGTCCATAACGACTTTAATACAGATGGGTCGAATTGACCAGTTTCCTATTTGTCCAATTAACCAAATGCTGTTAACTAATTATAGTATTATTATAAATGCTACTGATATATTTGTACTTATACCGTTCTAAACTGCAGATAAAAGAAATATGCACAAGTATCTTGATAGACTGGTATCTCCACTGGTAAGAATTGGCCGCTCTCTATCGACTCGGCTAAGGACCATCCACAGGTACTAGCCTCGGACTGGACATGGTAATGTAAGGGCATGAACTGTCATACAGGTAAGTTTGTATCCTAACGTGGAAACACTGTACTGATATTGAATTGCGTACATGTAGGGGACAGTACAGCGTCCGACTCCAGGGGTTACGCTCACATTCGCTCTCTGTACCCTTGGTATATGTCATAGCAAAATTGAAGGCACATGACTAGCTATTTGATTGGTCTCAGGTAAAGAAAATGCTGACCAATCGCTAGGCTGATCCCTGTTCTTTAAGATTACAGAGGAGCGACGCCCGACTTCGCCAGTCGTCAAATTTGCCGTTACGCGACCGCCAGATTATTTTGATGGCATCAAAGGTTCAAACTAGTCTTCTCGTCTCACCCACAAGGTGTTGCACACTGAGTTTTTAATTTTGCTATGACATATTCCTTGGGTGCAGAAAGCGAATGTGAGCTAAACCTCCTGGAGTACCAGGTGTGGCTAGGGATAGAGCTTCTCTTTATCTCCTTCGGTAAAGCGTAGACAATGTAAGACCAATTAACCAAAGATCCCGGTTTTTCTTTTAATAACTGAGGCACTGCAAAATAACGCCCTTCACACTTTGTTATCGTTTTTAATTTGGAACTCTTACCAAAAGATAGCAGCAAACGGCAGAATAGCGTTGAGTAACTCATTCAAAATGGCGCTCTGTCTTGTTGTCAAGAATGACGTCAATGAAAACTTGCGTCAAATATTACACTTATTCTCACGGTTTTTTTTGTTGTTGCAGCGATATATGCGTCGTGTTACATTTAAACATGTCATAAATGGAAATTTTAATAGTTTTACCGTTGAAAACCATATATATTTTACTTGTATGGAAGAATGTACTGGTAGTTTTAATCATGCTTCGGACTCGTGAAAAATATCGATATTCTGACAAAGGAGTCCTGCTCGTACAATACACATTGTTTATAACGGGAAACCATTCAATACCCTCTATTCACTCAACTTGTATCGGTATAACATGGTTAAGATGTGGCTAAACACCGGTGACGTTGTTGTTTTAAAGGCTATCAAGTTCAATGAATTAGCTGTTGTAATAGTACACCGTTATAAGCGTAGAGAAACGCCATTCAATGATAGATTCAACTTACCACCGCCATTTTTGTAGGCCAGATACGGGAATCTCCAGACGTTAGAGAGGTCCACAGAGTAGCCGATCACAGCCAACAAGTAGTCGGCCTTGTTACCCCAGTTTTCAACCGGAAGTTTAATATCATCATCGTCTGGGTAGTGGTCAGGAATGTCGTCAATATCGTCTACTTTCTCTGACAACAGAGAATTCTTCTCGGCGTCGGGACAGTCTCGTGGAGGGTCCTTGCCGTTCTGTATCTGGTCCTTGGAAATATCTGTAGGAATGACCGCCTGGAGCTCCATCGTGTTGGCGGTGGAGTCCGAATCCCCCGGACTGTCGTCGGTTTGACTGTCCGAGTGATCACTCTGGTCCGGGGCACTAAAGTCGAAGTCGTCGTAAAGATCGTCTTCCTCGTCGTCGGAACTTTCGGTTTTCTTCTGCAATTAACACTGTACAATTAATATCACATTTAATATCACAATGCAATATTTAGTAGTAAGATATTGCGAGTTAGTCAGACATTGGCTGGTGATCGTATGCTCCCTTGTTTTAAAATAAATACTGTATTCAGTCATTGCATGCACGTTTACTAATATTTGAAATGCATTAAACTGAAATAGTTAACTATTAAACAAAATCATTACATTATTCCGTATTGGAACAAGTCGAGATTGATCGTAGTTGTCCGTTCCACGTGGATGACGTAATTCTCCCAATAAGACTATTTGTGAGTTGTTTACCACAGTCCGAACGTATGACCAGGTCAACAGCCATAAACAAAATGAGCCTTTGGATCAGGCACTTACCGTCAACCCAGATATACGACCAATGGCGACAGCAAACCTGAGTAGTAGTATTAACGAGCAGGGGAGGCAACTCATGGGAAAAGGCACATCCCCATGTCTGTAAATTATGAGCATCAAATGTGCACATTTCTGTTCAAATAATCGGAACATGGGGATAGTGTTTAGAAAGACATTAATTGTAGAAATAAATTCAAAATTAAATTGTCAATGTGTTGTTTTAAAGATTTACGTTTCGTAAAACAGTACAGATTTATCAATCGGCGAATTATATTTTACCAGTTTCGCACGATCGCGTGTGATTGGTTGTTCCATGGGTACGTGTGATCAGCCATAAACTTTGATTGGCTGAGAGGATGTGCGAGAGAAACCTTTCCGGTCAATTGATTTTCTAAGAAATTGACGACGGCAGGCAGCGAGTGAGCCAAGCAAGTGTGAGAGTGTGCACATATATCACTGTATACCACAGGTAATTGGGCGAGTTAAGCTGGGTCTTCAGGTCATCGCCACCTGTCAGTGGCGCTACCGTCGACATTAATTGATGCAGTACATGTCCTCCTATTTTGCACAAGTGGAGTCGTATTCGCTGTAATAACACTTTAAACCTAACTTTTGATATGTTAAGCCTGACCTCCCTCGTCCATGCAATGTTGTAATGGTACATATATATGTCAGAAGACGGCAATGACCTTAAAACTGTGTATTAGCACCAAATTAATGAGACTGTTATATGTTTGTTTCCGTAATCCGTAGCTCAGACTGATTACAATGCCTCCTTTATATAGTGTTGTATGCAATAGCCCCTGTAAAGTAAGCTTCAGTAGAGACAGGTAAGACTCGACGTGGTCATCTGTAAAGTTATTAATCAGGTACTGTGCCTGGTAGATACAGCAGTTCAGTTGGCAAAGCATGACGTTCAGAGTTTCAACCTTTATCGAATCGGACAAAACCGTCATAACGCGTGTAAACTCACTTAATTTACTCATCATCAAACGAGGAAAAACATTTATTACCATAATGTCTTTCTTTGCTTAAGCTTTGTCATTTGACTATGAAAGCTTGCTGCCATGGTGATGTTTCACTCAAAGTAGGAAGTGTAAAAATGAAACGCAAAGCGGAAACCTTCAGGAAACACTGCCGGAATAGTTAACATCATTGAAGCCATGTCATTATTGTGTTTGTAAGTAATGTCTATGTCATTTCTGACTAACGACCATCCCTGGACGTTAAAGGTCACGACCGTATATACCACCAGCGGGACGTGTTAACCTCGCGTTGTTAATCTCGTGAAACATCGAGGGAGAGAAATGCAGAAACAAGAGAGCCCGCTCGGCATGATGGGTAATTAGGGTAAGCCTTATCTTATCGTTCGGGTATCAAAACTAATATTAGCATTCTTTAATATCAAATATATCCCTCTGAAGCGTATTTATAGACCGTATGCACGAGGAATTCTAAATTTAACGTAGATAGCCCGATGGTCGCTACACGTGTTTACCGCCACACGCTCTCACAATAAAACTCTTCAAGCTTTGAGAACATTCCCTGAATTCTACAGATTGAATGCTCTCTTTTGAATCTGATGTCAATATTTATGTACGACAAACTAAGATAACGGTAGGTTTTAGTACCTCCCTTATCCATGATATTTGGCGCGTGTAAAGCCCAGTTAGGCACGTGCTATATGACGTTTTGTCCTGCATTCGTCTACTGCAAATCAACACCTGCCTTTAAACATCCAATTGATTCATTAAAGTTAAAAGTGAAGAAGCATCTTCGAAATACCAAACTTTTGCTGAGAATATCATACCATTTGTCTACAATTACCAATTAGCGTGTCGGGTGTTTCCTGTAGATGGTGTTGGCCCGTGTTTGATGCTGTATGACCTTACCGTATCGGATCGATCACACAGACAGACATTGAGGCAGTTATGACAAGTCGGGGTACGGTGTCGACACATGTAAGGGATAAGGAATCGTGTAGAAATGGTTATTGGTCCTGTTTCTGTTTACCAAGGCGATGACGGAAGCATCGCGAACCGAACAAAACTGGTTACACGTAGCCAAACATAATTTTCATCAAACAGGGAGTCGGCAAAACCACAATGTATATGTAGTAGCTATATATAGCTGGTCATTGTGTATGCCGGATATCATTTGATGACCTCTCGCACTGTATTGTTAAAACCTACCAAAATCAAATGTTATATTACATTTGTATGTAATCGGAACTTTAGTTTCATTAGGCCGATGCTAACGATTTCATTTACTGAAAATCTGTCTGAAAAGCTCAAATTTGAAGCGCGAGTATTGAGCTAGCAATCTGATTATTGCCTTTTTCTTAAATTAAATTTATTTTTCAATTTCACCAGAAGCTATAGGTGATATAGGCATTATTAGGTAAGACAGAACACATGGTTATGTACAAGTACACATATTTGGTACACAGAATGTTTGGTACGTATACTGAGTACAGAGAACGCTTAGTACGTATATACTGGCTACACCGTTATACGTGGATTATATATTTGATACAAATAATAACTGGCACATACTTAGTGTACAAAATACCTGGTACATATATTGAATACATTTTCTTTATCGGGAATACCGTAGAGTTTGTGGGTGAATTTCGTACACTGTTTATCGTCCTTGTACTTGATTCACTCTCTCTATAAATGTGTTTGGTATACTTTTATTAGAAACAACGTAGACACGTAATTATTAACTTAGAATGAATATAAATGACCAGCAGGTGTTGGAGAAGCTTACTGTTTTAACAAAATAAGCCATATTGTCATACTGATACATAAACTGAGGATTTTATACAGTAAAATCGGCCATTAGCTCTGTGTAGAAATAGCTGTGATAATGGCAGCACAGCCGGAACACCTCAATCCTCACAGATAGAACGCATTAAACGGCAAGCTAGCTACAGATATTCATGTCATTTCAGAGATAACTATATATGATTAATAACATTTCATAAATAAAAGTGAAATGCTGGGCTCCGCGATATTTCGTGTAGAGTTTGGTGGCTCCATGGCCTCCCCTGTGGTGGGGAATAGGGGCCGGGATAGAGCCTAGTGTGATGATTGACGCCTAACATCGCTGGCAGGGACGGGAGGGAGATATCAAAACACTTATCTGTGCATAAATTGTATAAAAATAGGCCATACATATGTTATAATTATGTAGAGTAAGACAGATATGACCAATGAAGATTATAGTGTATCCGATGTGTTCCGAATGTATGATACTTTGTAATACCGTGTGACTGTAGCTACCACCAGTCTACGGCACATATAGAATATATCGAAAGATCATAAACTCTAAATTAATATAGTTTCTTCAAAAGAGAAAAAAACGTGTTATAAATGTAACCATTTTGCATATATGCGCAACGTCCATTATACTTCCGAGCATTGTTGCTAGTTACGTCATCATTCGGTGACGTCACAATGTAATGTCACCTTAGTGACACATTGTAAGGCCATAGCATAGAAGTTACCCACGGAAATCACTGCAAGTAAGTATTTTATCACATGTATAGCTAAACATTCCAGACATACTTCATACAACAATGCCTCCTCTCTGTCCTCGACGGCGAACCACATTAGATATCTAGATTATGTATCGATTTAATTTTCTAACCAGCATATCGTCTTAAAAAACTTGCCTTCTGCCTCGGGAGAGTTACGTATATCATATAGCACAATCATTTTCTGTACCGAGTATTATATATACATGTAGTGTTTACAAAGATAGATTTTGTGTCGATTATAAAATCGTCTTTGGGATACATAAGCTATTCGGAACCTCGTATTATACACAAGCCTGTAGTTACTGTATACCGACCTTCTGCAGAAAGATGGTTTGTTTCGAGCGGCTAAATGGAGTATAGACAAGTCTTCATTTGAAAAGCACAGTGACATTTTTCGGCAGTGTCAAGATGTTTCAACCATATTTAAGATGCTGCAATGCATGTTTGAATAATAAAACACTTTCAGTAGAACATAAATCTACACCGTCTGTCATCCTATCGTCTTAGTGGCGCCGTCGCGCGGACGCCAGTTAGAGCAGACAGGGGATGAGAAGATGGGAACAATGACATTTAATTAGACAATTTCATCAAGTGTCCGAGACAAACTCATCATTGTTGGTCTATTATTAGCATGCCTTATAAATACCATAGGAATGATTAGCATTCTCAGCCTGAATCTAAAATCCATTTGGTAAATTAGAAACACGATTCGGTTGCAGAAAGAACTAGTTTGTTTTAGTGTTCACAAGAGGGTTTCGGAAAGTGGGAGTACACAGCTCACATGTAATTCATTTAAAGAGTTCTCGAAGCTATTGAATGTGATCACGTCTGTTTATCGGTACGTTGTCCCACTTTAAGGTGTATGTAGCTTGGCTTAATTTATTTCGTCTCCACAGATGGATCCGGATATCAACAACTCAGCCGAGGAAATGGCCTTTTGTCGAGCTCTGACCTACTGGCGTGACGTGGAGAAGCGCTATATCTCCCGCCAACTGATGGACTCGCTCTCTAGCACAAAGACACAGCTACTCGCCATCGCCGAAAACGACACGTCGGAAGCAGAAGAGGCGAAAAATGCGGAATTGGCAGAAACTCCATTTCACATAAAGTATCACAATAATGGACAAGAGCTGTTCCGGGTATGGATGTACTCGTCTTTATCCCTCATGGCAGTTCTAATGCTCATGATATTCGGAAACGACATAATTTCTGTGTGGACGTGCACGGAGTGTGTGGAGCCGTGCCAACAGGAATGCCAAAAGTACATGTCCGGTAGTTTCTGGATTGACCGGGCCAGCCAGTACGTCCTGGGCGACGATTCCCTTCTCTAGGCAAAAAAAATATATACCCGGGCGAAAGGAAAAAAAAAGAAAAAAAACAAACAAACTTTAATGAAATATTAATTTTACTAAATATTATGAAGTATTTCAGTATATATTAAGTGTTTGAAGAATAGCAATAAGAGTACATGCTCGGTATTCTGTGATACAGACATTTCATCTACTGGCGTTTTTCCTCTTTTTAATAAATTCATTAAAAAATGAAAACCCTTCAAATTAAATCTTTTAAAAAACTACACTGAATCACGTGATGCGTAGAGTTGAAAGTGATGGAAAAGTTTTGTGAATTTTAGAAGTTGGCAAGATGTGAGATTTATTTTCAATAAAGAGATTCTACTTCTGAAAGTTCGTTTTCTGTGATTAACTGCTTTTAACCTCAGACCTTGTGTTTTGAGGGCTATTCCATTCTTACAGAGAAACCCATTATGATTCATCAGACGGGCTGCGGCAATGATCTAGTGGTATGTAACGGCACGAGAGGTCCGTAAAATCCCTCTAATATTCTTACTTCGATTACAAATTGGAGAAAACCCTTGAGTTACTATCTTAAACGATCCTGCACTTAACAATAAACGGCAAGGCCTGATAGAGGCGAGGATCTTCCCGGGATTTCATTTATTGCAGTTAGCAGCGTCACACGTATCAAAAAATGTTAAGATGTCGAAAGATTCAATTTATTTCTAGATAAAGTGTCTTTACACATTGAATATCTACACATTCTTTACATATCCGAATGGCGAACATATTTGTTCTAATAAAATGATGTAAAATATTAACATTACGAATAATGAAGTCTCATTTTCACGAACTTTTCGTAACTGAAGAGAATTTTATAACAAACTTTTCCATAGAAAAGCCTTATTGAAATAAAGGACATAACTCCACTAACGTTTCCCTACGGTGGCCGATTGATACGATGGGTAGTAGTGGACATTCAAATAAGTTTTTATAGAGTTATCACGATATTTTTCTTATGTTAATGAAATTTTGATTGGGCTAGATTATTCATCAGATATGCAGCGCTTAGTAAGTTGACCTTCGTCAGGGGTGAGGTGGGTTGAAGGTGGGGGTGGGGAGGGGAGTAGGGCACGAGTAGTTATTTTAGAGGGAACAATTTCAAGCTACCCCCATTTATCTGAGTATTGAAATAACAATATTTTATGAGTTCTTTTCATTGGTTCAATTTTCATTGGTTCAAAGTTCATTGTTCGGTGGTTCATTGTTCGGTGGTTCATTGTTCCTTGGTTCATTCGTTCATTGTTCATTGTTCATTATTCATTGGTTCATTGTTCATTATTCATTGGTTCATTGTTCAGTGATTCATTGGTTCATTGTTCATTGGTTCATTGTTCAGTGGTTCATTGGTTCATTGTTCATTGGTTCATTGTTCATTGGTTCATTATTCATTGTTCATTGGTTCATTATTCATTGGTTCATTGGTCAGTGGTTCATTGTTTCATTGTTCATTGTTCATTATTCATTGGTTCATTGTTCATTATTCATTGGTTCATTGTTCAGTGATTCATTGTTTCATTGGTTCATTGGTTCATTATTCATTGGTTCATTGTTCATTGTTCATTGTTCATTGGTTCATTGTTCATTGGTTCATTGTTCATTGGTTCATTGTTTATTGACTCATTGTAGTTGACACCGTTGTTAGCGTCGAGTCGCCTCTTTTCTTGTATATAATAAATTTCGTAATACGCAAGAACATTTCCCATACATTGCTAAAACACCAATCATCATTGCAGATGCACTCTCCATATTTTCTGGCAATTCAGTTATGTGATAAGTGTTTAACATTTATATGTGATAAATAAAAAAATGTAATATACATATAAATATTTCATTTATTTTAACAAGGCGTTGCAACAAAAACCTAAGATGGAGACTCGTAGTAAAATTATCTCGTCCGTCGCAAACAATAGCTGATGCTTGGTTTGGTTTAGTATTGTTTAAGGTCCTATCAACAGCTATGGATGTTTAAGGACGTCCTCCCCTGTGTGCAAGATGCATGCGTGTGTGTTTTGGGAGGCTGCGATATGTTCGTGTTTGTCTCCTTGTGATAGCGCGGAACTAATGCCGACTTTATAGTGCTATCTTACTGAAACATACTGCCGAAGACACCCAGAAGGACACCCCACTCGGTCACATTATACTGACAACGGGCGAACCAGTCGTCCCACTGCTAAATTGCTTAGCGTTAAGCAGAAGTAGAAACTACCATTTATACAGACTCTGGTATGTCTCGGCCAGGGGAGAGAACCCAAAGCCTTCCTCAAAGGGGCGAATGTTCAACTAAAGGTCAAAAGTGAGGCATTGTCAAGGGATACATTAAGAGGAAGAAAATTGTTTAGAAAGAAGAGAAAAGATAAGATCCCGAATTAAGTCGCCTCTTACGATCATGCAATAGGGGCAGCAGGGTAAAACAGCTGATGCTGATGTGCTGTTTTTAAGCCTAAGGAATTGATACTACAGCAGTAGACACTCGCTGGTCTGTCAGTAAGTCTTCTCTAGCAACATGACATGTTGGAAAATATTATGTGTTAATGGAACTTATTCATTAAAGTCTCGAGTATGGTAACGAACGTTGGAAATGTGCAAACTTCAAACAGTAGAATGAGACCTCAGGGTTAACGTCCATCATCTGTTGCGCTGCAGTGCCAACTGTAGGTGTGAAGTGTTAACACTGCCAGGCTATAAACCCTGACTGCTGTTGTAACAACTTGTTAAGTGCTGCACCGACCCTTTAAACACACGTACCGTATGGTGGCCCAGTATGCAAACCTGCTGTACCGGTCTAGGTATGGAAACGTGCAGCACCGGCGCAGTGAATAAACGTTCTGAAAGACCTTGAAGTTAAACGTCCGGCACAAGTCAGGTTTATCAAAGTGACGCGCTAGCCTAGTTCACAGACCCCCGACGTGTTTGCTTTACATAAGATCCGCTATATGTTTTCGTTAATGCACCAATTCGATATCTGAATGTGATCCACTTGCCCATTCCTATAAACTTGCTTTGTATATTGCATTGGTCCTGTGTACTTTATTCGCGTTTCTTTGTATAAGGACACAGTGTACATAAAAAGTCTGCTATCAGGCAGATTTATTGAAAAAATATTATCTGAATTGTTTTCATTGAGAATAGCGCATTTTCCAATCATGAACCCAATCGTGAAGAAGTCTGAATATGAAATTTACATGGGTTAATCTTCTCTCGTTTTGTTGATGTTGCATATTTATGAGACGAGTCTAAGAATTTTTCAATTTAGCGAGCCTCTGGTGAGCTAAAATGAAAAATTCGTGACGAGTTTCATGAATTTCAGATGAAATGAAAACGAGTGTAAGTTCCTTTTTATTACATAACCAAGATTTGTGGCATTTATTCGTGTAAAACGACAAATTTCATGCAACCTTGAAATGTAAAAAGCCGCCATTTTGACTCCAGTGCATAAGCCTGTGACGTCATGTACCTGTCCTAGACGTGACGTCACAATTGAACAATTGAAGCTGTACAACCAATCACAGGGCTGAGAGGTCATATTACATGGGTTAATACACAAAAACATATGACATGTGTTAAATGTTAAATGTTATATGTGTTAAATTAAAAACTATCTTTAGTGAAGTAAGAACCAATGTTCACTTGTGTGGTACGTGTACATGTATGTTCATGTGTGGACGTGTACATGTGTGTACATGTGTGGTACGTGTACATGTGTGTACATGTGTGGTACGTGTACATGTATGTACATGTGTGGTACGTGTACATGTATGTACATGTGTGGTCCGTGTACATGTGTGGTACGTGTGTGGTACGTGTACATGTATGTACATGTGTGGTACGTGTAAATGTGTGTACATGTGTGGTACGTGTACATGTGTGGTACGTGTACATGTGTGGTACGTGTACATGTATGTACATGTGTGGTACGTGTACATGTATGTACATGTGTGGTACGTGTACATGTGTGGTACGTGTACATGTAAGTACATGTGTGATACGTGTACATGTGTGGTACGTGTACATGTGTGGTACGTGTACATATGTGGTACGTGTACATGTATGTACATGTGTGGTACGTGTACATGTATGTAGATGTGTGTTACAAAAGTATTAACAAATTCAAAGGTTTCTTGTCCTTGAATTATATCCTTTATTCAGTATGCGTTCATATATAAATATGGAACAAACTTGATTAACTGTTTTTATTAAAGTATTTTCTGTAAATTGCAGTAGCAGATTGCTCAAAATGCAAACAATCACAGTCGATGTGTAAATCTATAAATAAGATTAAAGGTGTAAATAACCACCAACTACCACACAGTGACGAATAATTATGTCATGGGCAAACGGCCATAGTCAAAAGAGGATATGAGATATAGGTAGAAAACGAAAGTAAAGAAGAGGCAGTAAGGGATGAAATAGCGGGAAACAAAAGAAAGAAGTACGTAGAACAGAAGTAAGGAATAGGTAAAATAATAAAAAAACGCAATAAAAGAATATATAAAATAAAAGTCAAACAGAAGTAAATGTACAACAGAAAAAGGAAAATCTGAAGTAAAGAGCAGGTGGAACAGAAGACTTTAACATAACACAGAACCACCATAGAGAGACAGCTTCGTAAGCGATATATCAATAGCACCGCTGTGAAGAGCATTGTTATTACAATCGATTAAACCGGATATGATGTGAGATTGCTTTAGTCATTAACGGCAGCTTATCTTGTCTGTGCAACATTCAATAGTGAATAAGATATAATATAGAAGTACTTCCAGAAAAATGTATATGAAATATATTAGCGCAGATAACAAGTTATATCAAATCTTCTGACCTGCTGGAAGAATGCTTTCACTTCCACTATCGCGTAAACCATTAACGCCTGTTGTTCCCGGAATAGTCGGGATACCTTTTGTTTGTAACAGATGGGAGTAAAGGAGGAGTAATTATCACCCCCTCCCCCTCCCCCATCCCTTCACTAACGTAAGGGAGGAGAAAAAACATATGGGTTAGTGAAATGTCTAACCTTTACTAAGTGTGCTAGTGTTTTTTGTGGAACACGAAATCGTGCGTAAGGTGTGACGTCATGGACGATAACGTGACCATGTAACCTTCGGCTGACGGGGTTAAAAGAACGCTTGCTTCTGTAACAAAGTAGCATGCAGGAAGCACATGGGCAAACAATGTTGACGTCTGCAAGGACACATTGTACTATAAGTATATTTTAGAACAACCTTTCAGATCAAGAATGTCAGCAAATGTTACAAAGTTGGATAACTTCTGCAACGATGTAACGCTAGTCGACGAGATTATTACGCCATCGGTTAGATAC